AGACAATTTTCTGTTCGACAAAACTATTGACTTTTTTTTTCAAACAAGCTTTTTTCTTATTGACGAAAAGTGAAACAGATTAATAAGTACTTAACTATCTAATTGGAATCCCCTATTTTTTTCTTCACAGATCTATCGTCTTGTATCAGCCTGTATCTATCAAATTTGATACAACTCGTGAAATGTTCAACGTCAATAGATACATAATTTTTTACTGTGTGCTTTCAAAATCTTTTCAAGGTTTCTAATGGTGTCGTTCAAATGTATAAAGCTAGATACTAATTCTTGACGGTATTTCGTTTTGAATGTACTGTTCAAAATTCATGTTTGCAAAATCTATCCATAGTCTAAGAACGATTTATTATTATATTATCGGATGTTGGAATTAACTCTGAAACAAAATGACTAAACATTTAAACCAAACAAGGAAAAACTTCAGATTAGTTAGTATTATAAAAACAAAAAATGATATATCTATTTTAGATATGAGTCGTGTATGTGTAATTTGTTCACAAAGATAGTAGAAAAAGTATTTCTAGACAACATAGGTATCATCGTTGACTTTTCACTTAAGATTGAAACGTTGTTTTCAATTTCATTTATTTAAAAACTTATTTATTCTAAAATATAAAGTTAGCCATGAATTTTTCCTCTATATTTTCGACGATAGTCTCTAAGGAGTGTTGAAATGTTTAGAGGAGAAATGTGAACTCAATCCTTCAACTTCTTCGTCTATAAAACATGACTGACACTCTGTGAAATTATCACAGAGCATGATAGACGTTGTCGATTGTATTATAAATGATGTCTCGTTCTAATATTTGCATTAATTCCTTATTGCATTTCTAGAGAATGAATTAAAAAGATGATGAAGAAATATGTTCAAAAATACATAGAATAAATCAATCGTTCGATGATTAGCAAGACCAGCTACATCGTTTTTTGTATATGTTAATTCTACAGGGATTGTACTAACAGTTTGTTTTCAAATAATTCAAATGAAGTTTTACATTCTGATTGAATATTCTGTTATATTTTACTATTCGAATAAAAAAAAAACATGAGAATAAACGTTAAGTACACATTTAAACAAATATTAAAAAAAAAAAACTTCTTTTCATATTAGAATATTTTATTTTTGTATTTATTTTATTATTCTTACGAGAGAGAAGATGTCATCTAATATCATGTCATTTCAAACATCTATACAAATACGCAAATCTCATATAGATGCATTCAATTACAGATCATTTGTATAAATTAATTTTCATCGAAGTTTAAAACTTATGGCACACCCTATATACGTATTTGTTGGATATTCGATATCTCAAGAAAAATATATTCGCTTGCACTAAAAGTTTTAGAATACTTTAATAGTATTGAGACCGGTCTGTAGGTAAAATTTCTTAATTAAATCTACTATAAATAGTTGACTGAGAAGTCGAAAGTCTAGTAAATGATCAGAACTCTGACTGAGCTTGAACTCTTTTTTAGATCTTTCATAATTTTACTAAGTTCTAAATCGTAATTGAAATTTGAGATAAAATGAAATCCAACGGTTATATGTGTTTCTTCGTAAGTGAATGCTTAAAATTCACGGATTGTGAATCGAGTATCATATTCTATTATTAATCAATTTTAAAGTAATAACATATTTACATGAAATTCATTTGTATTTAGAAAAATTTTCAAAATTTATTGAACATGTCGAACTAATAAAATTCTAAAATCAAAATGAATAAATCTAATCATAAAATAACACAAGAAACTTTCTTTTCTATTTAATCTATTTTTCATCATTCATTTTTATCTTTCAAATAAAATATTTAAGTTAAGTTTTTTTTTCTCTTGATTTATTTGTTTCTCTTTCAATATAATAACAAACAAAAAAAAAATGGGTCAAGAGCAAATAAATTTGAAGATAAAAGAGGAAAAAAAAGTAGTTTTGATCACTTCCAAAGTTTTTTTAATGAAACATTCTTTTCCGAATCTTTTTGCATAACCTAAAATAAAAAAAAAACGAATATTTATTTAATAAAATATATTTCAACAACAAAAAAAAAAGATTTACTTTTGCAACAGCTAATTCGAAATCTTCTTGTGTTACATGTACACGTCGTTCTCGAAGTGCATACATGCCTGCTTCAGTACAAACACCCTAAATATTTTTTTACAATAGATAAATAATTAAAAAAACATTTTTTTATTATCTATATTTACTTTAACTTCAGCACCTGATGCACCTGGCATCATTTCAGCAATTTTTCTTAAATTAATTCCACGTGTTAAATTCATTTTACGTGAATGAATTTTAAGAATATCTAAACGTGCTTCTTCACTTGGTGCTGGAAATTCTATTTTACGATCAATACGTCCTGGACGAAGAAGAGCTGGATCAAGAATATCAATACGATTAGTTGCCATGATGACTCTAAATAAATAAATAATTGTTCGAACAATTCATGTTTAGTTAAAATATGAATTAATCATTTAACTACTATTAATAATTATGACAGAAAGATTATTTTAGTTTTATCTATTTTAGGACACCTTTCTTAACTATCCTTTTTAGTTAATCACGATCTGTGATAAATCATTTTATGTATTGCTAAAAAGTCAATAGACAATGTCATCTTTATCGATCTTTATACTTCAACATTTCTTTTAAGTTGTATGTGATAAAAAAAAAATATATATAAACTATTAAATTATTACTTAATATTTTGTTTTGGTTCAAAACCATCAAGTTGATTAAGTAATTCAAGCATAGTTCGTTGTACTTCACTATCACCACCGGAACTACCTTCAACACGTGTTGAACCAATTGAATCAATTTCATCCATAAAAATAATTGATGGAGCATGCTCACTAGAATTATTTGTTTTTTTAAATAATAATTAATGAAAAAAAAAACAAAAAAAAATATCTTCTATTTTACCGAGCCATAACGAAAAGTTCTCGAACCATACGTGAACCTTCGCCAATAAATTTTTGTACGAGTTCAGAACCCGATACACGAATAAACGTACATTCTGTATGATGTGCTACAGCTCGAGCTAAAAGTGTTTTACCTGTACCTGGTGGTCCATAAAGTAACACACCCTAAATAAAAAGAAAAAAAGTGTAAATAATTAAGAAAAAAGAAAAACCAAACCTTTGGTTGACTAATACCCAATGCATCAAATAATTCTGGATGTTTAACAGGTAATTCAATAACTTCTTTTATTTCTTTAATTTGTTTATCAAGACCACCAACCATTTCATATGTTGAATCAGGAACTTTTTCTACCATCATTAAACTAACCAATGGATCAACCTAACAATTGAAAATAATTAATTAAAAATAAAATATACAAAATTCTTGTTTTCAATGTTTACTTTATTTGGTAAAATTTTATGTAATGTATAACTATCATTTTTAAGTGCAACACGACAACTTGGTGTCACTTTAGCCATATCAATATTTTTGTCAAGATCAACAACAAATTTACCTTCGGGATGTACCTAAAGAAAACAAAAAAAAAATCAATTAAATTTTAATTTTAAGATTGCAAAACATTATTAAGAGTTGATGTTCAAAAATATTTTATTAGTTAACTTTTGAAGTTAACAAATTCAAATTTGATTTTTATAAAACTTAACGATCAAGTTTGTTTTTTTTTATTTATGCAAAAATCTGATTTAAACTAATATTAATATAAGTCTTATCTTTTTTATTTTGTTTTGAAATAGTAAATTACCTTAACAAGTACTTTTTTCTTGTCCATAGCTTTAACAACTTCACCAACTAACGAACCTTGTTCTTGTAATAATTGTAATTCTTCTCGTAACATTCGAACTAAAAATAAACATTAATGACATTTAAACAATTGACATCTAAACCAAATGCAACTATTTTATAGTCACAAAAGAATATTGAAGTATAGAGCAAAATTTCTAACTCGTCTCCTTCGCAGACATAATAGCAATGTTTTATTCAGCGTAAGGTATATATACTGAAAAATAAATGTTCATCTTCTCAAGAAAAGAAAATCTAGATCGTGGCAGAGGGAGCCCGTTGGATCGAAAATTTCTGTGACCAAGCAATACTTCTTATTTCAATCTGCATCTTTTAGTTAGTTCAAAAGTGCAAAATACTTTTTATCGATTATTCATATTCTGTGATTAACACATCCTACACATTTTTCAAGCAATCCTGGCCATAGTTTATAACAATTAAGTCATACTTGGCTTTTACTTTTAAAGCATAATCTACTGATTCGATCCTAAATTCGGTCGAATTTTACGCTGAATGATTAGTGTGAATTACAGAAGAATATAAAATTCTTATGCTGTATTCTGCTTATACATTGATTGTCATATATTCCGATTAACATCGTTCAGCATTAGTAGATAGCAATTTTATCATGTTTTAGATGTTAATTTTACACGCATTTTGCTAACATTGTTTTTTTTGTGTTTCTTTTGCTTTTATAGTTATTCGAAATTTTATTAAAAAAAAAAAAAATTATGGTTCATTTCTAATAGAATTTTGTCAAACTTATAGAATGACTAAAGCAAATGGCTTATATGAATACTGCCAACAACACTATATGAATGAGTTTATCATGTCTAAATTAAAATTTTTAGTTTCACACATTTTTATATATTACATCTGCAGCAAACTTAAACGTATTATTAACATACCTTTAGCATTTAATTCGTTTCGTTTTGCTTGTAGACGTCGTAAATTTTGACTTTTTTCTGCGACATTTAACTTTAAAAAAAAAATTTTTTTAAATTGAAATTCATTTCAATTGTCTTTTTTTTTTCTTACTTGAAGTTCTTCAATTTTTTGAATATAATATTGTTTAATACCTTCATGTGTATCACTTGATACTGTTGTAACATTACTTGTCGGTATACCCTGTGTAGGTGTTGCACGCATAGTTTCAACCATTGTTTCACCAGCTTCCATACAAGTTAATTTTTAAAAAAAAATCTTTTATTTCTCTATTTATCTAAAAAACAGTTGAAAAAAGTTCATCACACATTTGTTGAAAATTCATTTTATCAAATCTATCTTTATGTATTGATTGAAAAACAACTAATTTTTTTGTTATAGTAAATAAATCTCGTGTTTGTTGATCATATTTTTCAAAATTTGTTAATATATTCATATGATAATGATTTTTCATATATTCAATTAATTGATTACGTTGACGTGGATTTTTTAAATAGATTATTATAATTTGTTGATAAAAATTAATATAAATAACATATGATTGATGTTTACGTAGATGATTATCATCATCATAACGTAATAACATATAACCAATATCATATATTGGTAAATCAACATATGAATGAATAAAATTTTTTTTTAAATCATTATTTATTTGATTTAATAAATATTTTCGTAGAAATTTTTTTTCTGGCATTATTTTATATAAACGATTTAAATAATTAAAACGTTGATTAAATGGAAATAATAAAGATTTTTCATCAAGATAAATTTCACGTAATATTCGACATTCATTATATAATTCATCTAATGTTATTTGATATTGATTTTGTTCAAGATAATGAAATTTTTTTTCAAATTCATTTTTAAATAAATTACGTATATTTTTAGCATATGAACTAGTTAAACAATAAAGACGTTTATTACTTTGACCTTTTGAATCAACACGAACAATAAGAAAATCTTCTATTTCATTTGTTGATGATACATGTGTACCACAACATAATTCACGTGAATATGTTGAACCAATATTAACACAACGTACATCAGATGGATAATGTTCATTTGATAAACGATAAATATTTGTATCAGAACGAATTGTATTATAATTATATGAACTTATAGATATTGGAAGATTGAGATGAATAATTTCATTGATCTAAAAATAAAAAAAAAACAAACTATGAATACGATTTCTATAGGAATAAAATAGAAAACACGATGTAGCTGCTGTTGCTAATTATATTAAGATTGTTTTATTCTATGAATGTTGGGACATATTTTTTTAGCCAGCGGTTATTTAATCCTCCAGAAATGTATTCAGAAAATAATAGTTGATATATTTTGTCTGTAATCATATATCAATAACATCTGTTATGATCTTTGATAATTGCTGAAGATCATCTGTTGTGATCTTTGAAGGAAGGCCGTTTGACTTCATTTCAAGGTTTAAGAATAGAATAAATTTCACTTTTTTTTTCTGTCAATGTTCACATCAGTGGTTTATGATGTGAAATGATTTTCTCATCGGTTCATATCTATATTTCTACAAGGAATAAATTTCAACAAAAATATGATATCACTAAGGTTGTTATAAAAATTTTGATTTCAATTTGATAAAAATAAAATACTTTCGTAGTCAATGATCAGTTTCATAATGAACCTACATATAAAAAGACTTTGTACAATATGTCTGATCAATTCTCGTTCATTGAGAAGTCACTAGAGGATCTATATTTTATAATCTTTCGAAATTTTTGGTTGATAGTAAGCAATTACCTAAATCAAAAATATTACTCGTACTAAACCAAATAAACTTTTTGTTTTTCCTCTCCATTTATAACATTTCCGGATGAGAGTGAGATAAATATGAATTTTTTTTATTTTTGTATTGTAGAAAATTTAATGTTCTAGCAAATCATGAATCGTAGTTAGTTATAAACCAAAATTTATAAATATTTTTCGAATTTTAATATTTTCATCGTTTGTAGCTATGTATGTTAAAAGATACGTAATTCGAAGATTTTTGTAGAGATAATCTCGCTCTATAAATTAGTAAACAAAAAACTCTTGCTCATAGTTTATGAAAAAATATGTCGACACGTTCTTTTTTTTTGTTTGTCTTCATCAACAATTTACTCTCAATGAGCTATCTTTAAATCAGAAGTAAAGTTCAAGAGAGTTTGAAATTCTAATTCTAGCTCATTACTTTTGATTCTCTTAAATGAACTAAAATCGAAGAAGAAAAAAAAGCTACCTCACCTTTCGGCTATCGTTATCAATGTAGAATGCTATCAAGATAACTTCGATAGGCTCAATAATCACCAAACTACACTTCCGAATATAAAGTTGACCTGATCCGAATTTCTTCTAGTTCATTAAGCTTTCCGTTAGACACGATGAACAATCTCGACCGTCTACAGAAAATATGAAAGTGTTTCTTAACTACGGAGAAAGGGTGCACAGACGCCACTTCTGCATATTATGTAAAGTACAAGTTAATAATGAATAAAAACTTACACGTTTTTCAAGTTCTTCAAAAATGTTATTTGTTGCATTTGTATTAGTTGATGAATATTCAAAAATAAAATAATCTTCATGTATTAATGATGCTTTTTGTATTAAATTTTGATCATTTAATAATTCTCGTAAGACTTTATTAACTAAATGTGTTGTTGTATGATTTCGACTTAAATTTAATCTTCGTTTCATATCAACATGACATCGAACATTTTTATCATTAATATTTCCATTTTCTAAAAAATAACCATAATGAATAATATATTCATGAAGACGAAAAACATTTCTAAAAAAATAATAATTTAAATTAAAATTTTCAAATATATATATATATAATTTACTCGATTTGAAAAATAAGATTATTCGAAAATTCAATTATTCCATGATCAGATGATTGTCCACCACTAGTTGAATAAAAATTTGTTTGATTAAGAAGTATATAATATTTAAAATTTTTATTAATTGATTGAACAATATCTAATTGATTATTATTATTATTATTTTGAATAATTAATTCTACTTCTGCATTTATTGATTTATCAGCTTGATATTTATATGGTTCATCAATTGTTTTTTTTAATAATGAATTTTGTTTAATTAAATCAAATATTTTATCAATTGAATGTTGAGATATATTTTCATTTGTTTTTATTGTTTTATTATATATTGAAAATAATTTACTTTTACGTGTTTCTTCACGCATTAATTCATCAAAATTTAACCAATCAATTTTAATTAATGGAAATAAACGTATATAATCTTCAATCATTTCTAATGGTACATTTATATTATTTATTTTACCAGCATATAAACGATAAATATCATTACCAGATATAAAATAATCTGATTCTAAAATAGAAACAAATTAATATGTTATTAATTTAAAACAAAACAAAAAGAAAATACTTTGAATTTTATCTTGAATAAATTTTTCAAGTAATGGTTTAGCTAATTGATATTTTTTCATATAATTTAATTCACAATATTTAACAATTTCTATTGTACGATTTAATTTTTCATTTAAATCTGGATATGCTTGTGAAAGAATATTTGTTACTATAGGAATTAATTTTGATAATATAGTAATATTTTCTTCATCAATATGTAAATATTCATAAGCAATACGTGTTGCACGTTCAATCATTTTTTTTAATAAACCACCAATACCTTTCTTTTCAGGTATAAGACCATCACCAATAGCTATTGTAAACATTCGTGCATGATCTGCTAATAAACGATATGCATATTGTTGTGTTTTATTTGCTTGAGAATAAACAGGAATTGAATATGATGAATGACAATATGAATGAATTGTATCAAAAAGTGGAGTAAATAAATCAGTATCATAATTTGATTCTAATGAATTAAGAACAGCAACAAGACGTTCAAGACCCATACCAGTATCAACATGAAAATTAGTTAAAGGAATTAAAGCTAAAAAAAAAACAAGAAAATGATATTATAAGTTTATAGGTAAAATTAAAACATGAAATATTTGTAATAACGACTGATTTTTTTGATACTATTCATTGTCTTTTTTTGTTAATATTAATGTATCTCTAATGAGAAAACGTATTCCACTATTAAAAGTAATTTGCTCTTGAAATTATAAGCATTTGATTGATCATGATGAAATGATCTGTTTTAAGTTGGTTTTTCGATCTTTTGCTTGACAAGTTATGAGATATTTCGATGATTGAATTTCGAACTAAAATGTTGTCCACGGATAAGTCTTATAGTCATTAGAGGCTTTTCAAAAATAAATGTCTCTTTATCAAAATATTGGAAAAAATCAAACCAAAACAGATTTTTTTTTTGTCATTAATCATCATGGTCAATCTACATAGTAATAACTTCAAGGAAAAAATCTATTTGATAGTTGGAAGCGTTTTACACGTACATAATTTAAAAAATTAAGCACAATGGTAGATTTCTCATATATTGAATAGATTGATAAAAATTAAAAGAATTTATATAATAGATGACTGAATCTATGTTGAATTGATTACTCAAGTTTCTTCCTTGTTTTTTAAAGGGATCTATTTGAAAGATATCTTCAAGTTTCATCAATGATTTTTGACCTCAGTATAAAACATATGTAGATTTGTAAAGGAAGACTACTTCTATTTAATCGTTGATGTATTATAAATTACTATTGCTCGGAGTAGTGAATTTCTATCGTAGAACTCCATCAAATGACAGAAACTTCGAAATATGCGTTTAAGAATCAGATTCATTGCCGAAATTTTTCTATTTTCGATCGGTACCGATCTAAATCAGTCACTATGTCTCTACAGTCAAGTGCATATCTTTATAACTTCAATTGGAAATACGACCTTCGTCATAACTATGATAGAATGCGATGAAGATGAGATCCTTCATTCAGATCAAAATCGTACATAATTGAACTTGATAATTAATTTATCATTAGATAGAAACAGTTTTCCTATATATATCCTTTTATTGGATCAAAAGTTTGTAGTTATTTTTCTATTATTTATTTTAATCTTACATTTATCTTGTCGTCGTTCATATTGCATAAAAACAAGATTCCATAATTCTACAACACGTGGATTATCTCTATTAACTTGTAATGGATCTCCTTGACCTGTATGATCATAATGTATTTCTGTACATGGACCACATGGTCCTATTTCACCCATTTCCCAAAAATTTTCTTTCATTCCAAATGGTAAAATTCTTTCTATATTAATTCCTAAATCAATCCAAATTTGTTTTGTTTCATAATCTGGTTGAATAAAATTATTTTCTCCATTAAAATATGTAAAAAATAAACGATTTTTATCAATACCATATATTCTTGTTAATAAATCATATGCCATTGTACATGCTTCACGTTTAAAATATGTATTATTAAATGACCAATTACCAAGCATTTCAAAAAATGTATGATGATATGTATCATGTCCAACATCCGATAAATCATTATGTTTTCCACCAACACGAATACATTTTTGATAATTAACAACACATTTTTGTAAAATTTTATCTTGTTGTGAAAGAAATATATTTTTAAATTGATTCATTCCACTATTTACAAAATATGTTCCTGAATCTTTTGGTGGAATAACTGATGATGATGGAATAATTATATGAGAAATTTGTGAATGTTTTGTAAAATAATCTATAAATGTTTGACGAACATGTGATGATGGCCATTTTAATTGATGATTTATTGAATAATAACGAATACAATAACCAAATCGATATGATGAATTAATTAATAACCTAGAAATAAAATTTTTTGATTTAAAATATTACTATTTATCATCTTGTCATTATTTTCATTTCTTTTTAATTAAAAATTAATACTTTCAAATGTTATATGTAGTACATTTCAAAAGACTAATAAGTATAATTGTATTACTTTCTACAGATGCATAAGGTATTAGAAAATTTTTCTCAATTTCAGTACAGAGTATGAAAGAAGCTTACAATGTATATGGTGACACAACTGACGAGGGAGGGTCCCCAACTGATCAATCGCTTTTGCGTTGAGACTATGTGCATTATGTAGGCACAAATGAGCTATGAATACCCTGAAGAAAGTTCGGGCTGCTAGCTTGTTGGTACGAAGTTACTGTACTTGTACGGTATGTTTTTAAATGAATGCCGTGGTCCCTCAGAAACATCAGAAAAAATAATTTTCGAATTTCGATTTGAAACTTTACGTAGAAACAGACCTTACTGAGAATAGTATTTTGCGAAGGTTTCAGGTCTTTTGATTTGTTCCTATTCTGAAATGAGAGCATCAAATCTTCTGGTGTATCCGAATGAAGTTATCATATCTGTATCTACGGATAGCAACAGCAAACAATCTGAAACTTTCACAAAATACTATTCTCAGTAATATCTATTTCTACGTAAAGTTTCAAGTTGAAATTCGAAAATCATTTTTTCTGATGTTTCTGAGGGGAACCACGGCATTCATTTAAAAACATACCGTAAAAGTGCAGTATCTTCGTACCAAAAAGCCAACAGTCCGAACTTTTTTCAGGTTATTCATAGCTCATCTGTACCTACATAATGCATATAGTCTCAACGCAAAAGCGATTGATCAGTTGGGGACCCTCTCTCGTGAGAGATTGTGAATAGGAGAGCAACATCCAATGGTTCTGAAAAAAACCATGTAACATATTATCAATGATCGTAACTATTACGTTTCTCTTTCTCCTAGAGTAGTAGGCCGACGTTCGCCCTTGGTTACACTACTAATAGCATATTGATATTACTTTTTTTGAGGACTTTTATGCTAATAAAATTTGAAAGTATAAATGTCATTCTCTAACAAAACATTTTTGTTTCCGAAATCAAATATTTATAAATTGATTATAATAGTTCATCATATAATAACTTATGTTGAATAGAAAATAGCATTATAACTCAATAGATCGATTGTTTTTTGGATCGACAAATAACAATATAAAATCAATAACATTTCTTACTCATTTGAAGAATATTCTCGAAGGTTACATCATATAAAGATTAATATATATATTAATGGCGTAGCCAGGAATTTTTGAGTCATGGGCAATTCATTAGACGAACTATTTTGGGTTACGGACAGCTAATGGCAACCGTTATTATTTCAGAAATATCTATGGGCAATAACTGTTCAAGCACTGCATAGCTCAATAAATCCATGGGCAATTGCCCAATGGCCCTACCCCTGACTACGCCACTGATATATATATATATATATAGACAGTAAGACTTTAGAGGAAGCAGTCGTACATATTACTATATTAGTGTTCCAATCGAAATCATTTGAATCATGAAATTAAATTTGAATATATACATTCATATTCATCAAGAAGAAATAGTTGTTTTTTTTTTCCTAGCATTTCATGCATATTAGCTTAGAAATGTTAATTTCATAATTATTGTGAAATAAACATTGAAAAAAAAAAACAAACTTACACTCACATTGAACAGATTCAAGATGATATCCGACAAAAAAAAAAGAAATTAAACTATCTAAAATTAATAAATGACAAAAATTGATATTAATTCATCAATTATAATACATATTTTCTTTCGTTAATACTTATATAAAATATGCACTATTTTCATTCAGTATTTTTTGCTGCATAATACAATATGCATGACGATGAGGATAATGCATATCGTATAGAAATATCATCCTATTGCATATAAATCAAATAATATAAAAAACAAATTCAACCATTCTCATCCTACTAATATTATTCATTGACTTCCAAAGTTTTTCATATGGACATAATGGTGAAATCGAGTCGTTTTTTTTACTATTTGACAAACTCTTAACAATACAATTTTTGAAATTAATAGATGTCACTAACTCTCGATCTCTTACTTTTGATAAATATCGAGATTGATATTTCTTACTTTTTAAAAGCCTTCTTTCATTAATACAATATCATCATCATCATCATCATAGATAATCAAAGTTATTTTTCAGCTTTGTTTTTATCTCCAAAAGAAAAAAAAAGACCACACAAACATAAAGATGAGAGAAACGCACATAACAAAAAAAAAGAAAAGAACGAAAAAAGAAAACACCAGAAAAGCGAGAGAACTTGAAGAGAGATATAAACAATGGCTTAGATTTTTTTTTTCTTGTCACATACATAGAATGACTATGAATGAACAAGTAGCAATTAGTAAAGAAAAGAAAAACATTTTATAATCTCTTAGTTTTTGTTTTTTATCTCTGTATCTGTTCACAACGCCAAGCGTACAATAACAAAAAAAAAAGAGGAAGAAATCACGCAAGAACAAAAAAAAATGAAAGAAAAGAAAAACAGAACAACATCAAACGCAATGACAAATTTAAAAAGTACAATGAGACTAAATGTTCCATGCTCAGCTCATCTGTGAGAAAGAGATAGAGAGAGAGAAACCATTTCGGTTCGTTTTGCTAATAATATCCAACAGCTAATAAATCAAAAAATTCTTGTCTAGAGTAGGAAGAATGAATATAAAAAAAAAAGAAAAGAAAACAATCAAACAAATAAACGGAAAAATAATATGAGAACAACGTACGTAACCAGAATATTGTGTTTTTTTTTTCGCTGATCATAGTATAGAAATACACACAGACACATATAGACATAGAATCAAATAAACAACAACTCTATACAAGATACACAAAATGAGAAAGAACATATAAACGACTAGGGTTTAACAATGGCAGTTTGTTGTTGTTGTTGAGTACCTAGTGGAGCATTCGGAATATGAGGAAAACCACGTGTAAGTGTTGTTAGTAACCTAGAAAGTATAAGAAAAACAAAAATAGAATATAAGTTAAGTTTGATTTCATTGTGTTATGAGTTTGCTCTTTTAAATGTGTTACTTTCTAGATATGCTAAATTAGATATTTTTTTTTTGAGAATGATTCAAAATTCTGACCAATTTCTACAGAGCTTACTGATTTGAATATTCAAATTACTGCTCTGAAAATACGAGATATTTGTTATCGTATATAGATACTAATACATGTCTGTGATAGTCTTGATTAGAGGTGTAAGCTGAGGAGTCAAACGGCTGCGGCTGTTTTAATGGTCTAATTTTTTTTCCATGGCGGCGGTGCCTAGTAGACTACATGGTTTTCTACACTGGGGGCGACGGCGGCTTTGACAACCAAAAAAAAAGGCGTTTTCGCTCCTAAAATGCGAGAAAATGATCGATCGCATATGTGTCGATGTCAATGGTGGCGGCGCATCATACTATTATCAAAAATTTTCGCTCGTGACGGTGGCGCAACGGCTAAAAAATTTGTAAAACTATCTACGATTCCGTGGCGGCGCAGCTGGATGGCTTACACCTCTAGTCTTGATGATGATCTTATAATAATTAAATTCGAATTGAGTGTTACATTGAGAATATGATGAACTGTATCTTTAGCGTGAGATCAGTTTCTCATTTTTTTTTTAATCGGCTTCAGTATTGTTGAAGATTTATCAATAAAACTAATCTATAAAATTCGATAAGAGAAGTCTAATTAAATTCTTCTCTATTCAATATTATGTACATAATTTTTACTGTTTGATTAATAAATATCGAAATGTTTATCAAATCTATCTTATTCTAAAAGTAGACTAGACTAGCTTCTTCATTTTACTATCAAAATTGAAGGCGTTAGTAGAAAAAAAAACAATCATCTAAATAATAATAAGGCTGAAAATAATGAGACCTAATTTTAGATGACTAACTGAGAATAAGAACAAATTTCTTCAAACTGTAGCTTTTCTTTAGTAGAATTAAACTATTAAATTTCTAATTAACAATAAAATTAAAAAAAATAAAAAATAAAATGAAACAAACCGTTTAACATCTGGTGAAATACTCATAAATTCTCGAGACCATAATTTCAAATTAGGATTTCGCACAAGTTCAAGAAATGTTATTAATAAACCCCATGGATGTGGACGATTAGCAACAAGTCTTTCAAGTAAAACTCTAGAAGCAAAAAATAAATATTTAAATTTATATTTTTCAAAAACAACATACCGAACAATTTGTTCTTGTAAAGCTTCAGAATTTGCTTCAGCAAATAAATATAAAAGTGTATAACTAAAATAATGTGTATGTGTATTTGGATATCGCAAGTGATTAGCCATAGCATTTAAAAATATATAACGTCCTTCAGTATCTAAATCAACAGCTAAATTTTGAAATATATCCATATGTGCTGAATGTGTTATTGATGACATTAATGGTTGTCCATTTGTTTTATTATTTAATGTTGATAATGCTTGTGTTGCAACATATAAAACAAGTGCATTTAACATTCTTATATTATAATGTGAACCAGGATCAGCACCTTGTTGTAAATATGAACGTAATTCAGATAAAAATGTAACTGGTGCACGTGTACGTAAATATGAATCAAGATTTTGTTTAAATTTTGGTGGTTGAATATTTTGTGAAAAATTATAAGCTATCACCGGTACAATTGATATATCATTAAGCATATCAACTTTAAAATTAACCAAAAATGGATCAGGACAACGCATATGTTTTGGAAATGCAGATAAAACAATATTACGTAATTGATGTGCTATTAATGGTAATGCATCACAAAATTGATAATAATGTTCACATAAAAATTCTGGAAAATCATGTAATAATAACATAAATGTTTTTAATATACCTTTAAAATAAACTTGAAATGATTGTGCATGTTCACCTGAACGTATAAATGGTGTTACTAAACGTAATGCATCAACAAGTAATAATGCATACATATTATGTGTTTGACGTATAAAACGACCACTTGATAATAATAAACGTGACATAAATGTTCGATGTGCAACTATTTCAAGCCAAGCAAATGCAAAACCCGGTACACGTTGTGGACGTAAAAGATGTAAACAATTTGTAAATGCCAAATAAATATAATACATTACATATTCATTTGCAGATGATACATCAACACCTGGTGTTGTACTAGATTTATAAAAAAAAAATAAGAATATTTAAAATATATATTTCGAAGTTAGTGAAATATAAAATGAGAAATTATTTTTAAACTGGATTTTTATTTAGCATCGATAAGATGAAAGAGAAATGTTTCTCTTGTAATTTGAAACTATTTTTTTAACTCATTTATAAAGAATACCGAAATAAAAATTATATTTACGAACTCTTCCGCATTTTTATAGGACATTCATCTTCGAAATTTTCTGTTATGCTCAAATATACTGTGTCCTTTTGTTTTTTGCATTAGATGATACGCCATAAAAATTCGAGATCTTATTCGTTTGAAAATTTTGTAAAAAAGGGTTAAATCGTTATAAGTATCTACTTTAGAATTTATTTGTATCACATCCGAAAAATTCCGCAACACTTATTTTTTGATTGATATAGTTTAGAAGATAATTCACTTAAAATCATAGAATATTTAACTACAATTTTTAGTTCTTGATGTCTAGATACATCTGATCTCTACCTTCTCCTATTTGGAAATGTCTGGTCTTTAACAGATCCTTCTTATTTTCTTCGATGTCCTTCATGTATCGTACCTTTATCGAAATCTGAAACTTAAAAAACCATTGGCAATAATATTCGACATGATTCTAATGATAGAAATCAATATTTTATGATGAATACATTAAAACTTGATGCAAAACATTACTGAACAATTATCGATACAATATCATTTAATAATCGATCTTTTTCTTCTTAACGAATACTAATGAATGTAAAACAATTATTATAGAAAAAATACAACCATCATTATTTATCTTCAATACGTACATCAACCAAAAAAAAAGTTCAGTTTTCATGTTCGGATGAGACTTGAACACAACAAACATCAGTATTTTTATCCAGTATGAAATTTCAAGGAGGCAATTAGACTTGATCTTTTCAGAATTCGTGATTATTACCATCTAGAAGATTGCTTTTCTAATATCTAGAAATTTCGTTTTCTTTTTTGCTCAATAATTTTTAAAAATCTTTTGCCTTGTTCTCGATTTAAATGAGTTATCTTTTGTATGTATTTACCCTCGTAGAATTTTTATTTATTTTTTTCTATTCTCCAATACGATAATAATTTCATTTGAACTCGAAACTAATATATATATATTCTTACTTTGACATAGTTGATGTGACAGCAGCTGTAGATTCTTGAAATAGATTAAGAATAATTCTTTGATATGCCAATGGATGAAATTGATCACCTTGTTCTTCATGATCAGCAAAACAATGTGCAGCTAAAATTCCTAATATACGATTAATTAAATGTATTCGTGCTCCATAATTATTAACATCTGATGTATGTGTTGTTAAAAGTGATAAGAAACGACAAAGTGAATCAATTCCTTGATGACAACGTGTATAATGTGCTTGTTGTGTTGTTGTTGTTGTTGATGATGATGATGATGATGATGTTATGGATGGTGCTTGACGAATTATATCATAAACACTATTAACACATAATTGAATTGTCATACGAAGAAATTTAGCTATTGTATCATCGGAACGAAATAAACCTTGCATATTCATCTAAATTTAAATAAAAAATAAAAATACTTCTTTGTACATAACAAAACGATTTTGACCAAAGAACAGAATATATACATAATGGTTTATAAAGAAAGATTTTCTTTTTTTTGTATTTCGAATAGTATAAAGTCAATTCTGTAGTGTTGAGATATCGATGAATGACAATAATTACTAACATTTGAAAACGGTACCGAATAGAATTTGATAATACTTTATATTATCAAATAGAAGAAGTTCTTGTTGAGAAAACTACATATGTATATATGTGCTATTCTTTGATCAAAAATCTTATAATCATGTTTTATTTTTTTTTTTTTTACTTGATTAAAAACTCCTTGAAATGATTGTTGTTGACTAATACGATTTGTTTGTGTCATTGTTAATGTAACCCAATCACTTAATATATGTTTAGCTTTATTAGCTATTGTTGTTGTTTCAATTTCATCATTTGATGTTAAATATTTATGACCATTACTTATAACTGATAATGATATAATAGCTAATTTATCAATTTTAGCTGTTGATTGTGTATTTGTATCATTTGTTGAATTTGTTTCATTATTTGTTGTTAATGATGTATAATTTAAACGTATTATTTCAAGTAAATCTCGTACAGCTTCAGCTGGTTGTTTACCAATTAATGATATACGATGAAGTGAATCAAGTATTGATGATATATCACTATCAACACAACATGGTTGTTCAATAACACAAATACGAAGAAAATTAACAGCAAAATGTAATGCTGGATTATTTCCTGAATCAATTAATTGTGCAACATGTGTATCCATTTGACGTATATCAAGTAGACGATTACGTAATAATTGATTAACAGCATAAACATTAAATTTAAGTTCATTAGGACATTCTAACCATGCTTTAGTTAATTGTTTATTAATAAGTGACATATGTAAACGTATTTCAACAAGTAATTTTAATACACTCATATGAACATTTTTAAAACGTTCTAAATTTTCACCATCTTGTGTTTGTGATTGTAATGTATAATGTTCAAGTAAATTATAAATAATTATATTTAAAACATTATTTAATGCAACTTGTGGTGCATTTGGTGTTGTTTGATTATGTAAATTAGTTCGTAATATATTAACATTTTCTAATAAACGTTGTAATGCATTAGCAAATGTTTGATTATGTTGAGTTGATATAATTTGATCAATTTCAGCTATTAAACGATCCCATACAGATGGTCCAGTTTCATCCATCTAGATGAAGAGAACAAAAAAAATTTTATTTGTTGTTGATTATAGACAATAAATTTATTCAATATGAGAATTTGAAATAACAAAAAATTGTGTTGTTGGACAGGAAGCATGACGTCTATTGCTTCTGAAATTACTCCGTACTGCTATTGAAAATTGTTCTCATACAGTCTCGTTTTTTCGGGTGCAACCATTCCTATGTCTTACTCACTTTTAATGCTAAGTTATGTCTGTTATCTTGCGAGAATGGAAGAATCATTGATTTTTGCGAGTTTATCAAAGATGAAGCTAGTTTTCGAGAATAATAACAACTGTCAAGATGAGTTTTTGCTGATAGGGAAGACATAGTAAGACTTGAAATAATCTGGAATGAATCGGTCTGTTATAAGCATTCATATCAAAATTATGACCATCTCAACTAGATTTCTTATTCTGTAATAAAGTAATTCGCAAAAAAATTTCAAATTAAAATAATTGAATATTCATGAACGATCATATTTCGTAGAAAATGTTATTTAATAGAGCTTTTCTTTTTTTTGTCAATATTCATTACTTGAGGAAGATATTTTATATGAAATATCTTGCTATCAATGAACACTCGAATAGGAAAGCAAAGAGCAATTCGAATCATGTCAAGTTTTTTTTTAAAGTCACATTGAGTATTCATTATCGAAAAAACTTCAATGGAATTGATATTTAATGTTTACAACTCAATGAAATTTTAAAACATTTACTGGAAAACTTGAACAGTACTTTTTATTAATCACAAAGTCTGGGGTAATTATTTAATCTCACTTATGAAATTCATTTATCAAAATCTCATATTCATATATCATAAAATATTTTCTTCAAATAAAAAGAAAAGTCAAATTACCGGTACAAGGTCACGTTTTTCATTATCACTTGGTTTAAAACCTGGAATAAAATGAACAAAATCTTCATAAATAGCTAATTGATGTGATGATAATGGTCCATAACGTAAACGTATAGGTTCTAATAATCTATCTGACTGAAATTCAGCTACACTTGTTGCAGTTGGTAATTGTCGTCCTTCTAATCGACAACGTTGTCGAATTTCAATATCACCAGCTAAACGTTGATCAATTAATTGTATAGCACGATGTATTGTTATACGTTGTAATAGACAACAACATAATTCAATATTTGATGCTGCTATTTCTGTTGCTGCTTGATGAATCATTTCACGTGTTTGACTCGATAATTGATCATTTGTTGTACCATTTGTTGTTGTTGTTGTATTCGTTGATGATGATGATGATGAATCATTATTATTATTGTTATTATTATTATTATTATTATTATTATTTGTTGTTGTTGTTGTTGTTGTAGAATTTGTTGATGGTACTTGTGGAACACCAAGAACTGTTTGTAAATGTGTTTTAATATATGATTGTATTTGATCTTGTAATGCTGGACGTGCTGTTATAAGTACAAGACCACTACTTAAATAAGCAACCATATTACGTGCTGATGTACGTAATTGTTGTTCATCAGGATTTAAAAGAAAATCTTTTCGTACAATTGTTTCAGCTGCACTGGTTGCAACTTTAAGCGAACGTTGAACTGTTTGAAGACTTTCATTAATAGCTTGTTCAATAGGTGAATGTATATAAGTTTTAAGACGTGGATGATGTTGAAAAAGTAATATATTTGGATTTATTTCAAGCATTGAACTTAATGATTGAAATATTGATGGTTTAAAATCAGATAATTTATATTTAGGTACAGGTGGAAGTGTTGATGATGTTGATGATGATGACGATGATGATGATACAGGTAATGTTTGTTGTTGTTGTTGTTGTTGCATTGAAATAGGTAATATAGATGATGTTGCTGTTGTTGAAGATTGTTGACTTGTTGGTAATTGATGATAATTAAGAATAGCTGGATCATTATATAGAGATGATGATACTGTTGTTGAATTTGTTGATTGTTGAGATTGATAAACATGAGATGTTACACCGGATGATTGACGATTATTATTTGATAATTGTTTTTCAATTTTATCAAAATATTCTTTATTTGATAATATATGATGAATTGGAAGATCCTTAAAGATAAATTAAAACAAAAATGTTAACATAGTTCAAGATATATATATATAACTAGTTGAGAAACTGTTGAATATTTAATAAGATGAAAATAATGAAAGAATTTCAGTTCTTTTGTCTTTCATGATGTATATTTACTAATGAAATATTTCACTATAATGTTTCAATAATGTCAACGAAACTAGAGATAGTTTTATTGATTTTCTTTGAACTAAGAAGAAAAGCTTCCTATCTAATTAAAGTTGTTTTTCAGTCAAGACTAAATCTATTGTATAGCTCTCAGTGAGCTATGAATACCTTCAAAACAAAAATTCCGATAATTAGCTTATTACTCCAGAAATATTACAAATTTTTATGATATTCTTTAGTACAACGGAACGATTTCCTTAGCTTTTTTTTCTAACTTCGATTTTGCCCAAAGACAAATCTAAACGAAAATACTTGATCGGGTAAGTTTCACGTCTTTTCGTTGTTCCCATTCTAAGATACAACATTGATAAAAATGTGTTTCTCATATTACTGGTATCTACTCGAACATTCGATATGCTCATTTCAGGATAGAAAGACCTGCAACTTTCATCGTAATCTATTGTCCGTTGAGGCAGCATGTACACGAAGTCAAAAATCAGAGTTCCTCAAGAGACCACAGCATTGCTTGTAAAAAACTAACTCTTTACAAGATTCATAACTCCATAGAGTCTACAATACAATATACATAATCCCCATTCAAAAAGAATTCTTTAAATAGTACTCCGAAAGTTTCCGATACTTTGATATTGAGATCTCTGATATGTTACATCCAAAGCTCTCAATAGTTTGTACAAATCCAGTAGGCTACAAATATATGACAGATATCTACTCTTTTTCCCTTTATGCAAACATCATTCTTAATAAAACACTTAAAAAATTAATGTCTTTTTTTGTTTTCAATATCTTTTTTCTATTGATAAAACTTACATTCAATTGAATTTGTAATTGTCTACAAAGTACTTCAATTTCAAATTTTAAATTTAATTTGAAATCTGGTGAAGCATGCATTTCAGCAAGAACAGACATAATACCCATTAACCATGGATTGGGTTGTTGAAAAATCTATTTAAATTAACAAAAATTATTCATATAAATTAATGTATGTTTTTTTTTTGGTTGCGCGCATACTTTGCTTCGTGTACATGATTCTAAAATTTTTGCTACAAATGGTATCACATATAATAATTCTTGTGAACCCATATGATATGCTTCAATAACTAAAGATTTGATTTCTAAATCCTATAAAATACAAACAAAAAAAAATGAAAATAATTTTTGATTTTTGATTTATCTATAAACCGTAGCAAGAATTGGTTTATTTTTTGCAATTGTTATTATTCCAAGCCAATGGCCAAGATTTTTTAATAATGCACGATCAGGGATATTATTCATTTGTTTATCACTTAATAAAAGAATCTAAAAGCAAAAAAAAAAATTGAAAATATTCTTAGTTTTTATTTTTATTTTTTACTTTAATATTTCGATGTGTTTCAGTTAATACAGTATCATAAAGTATCAGAACATTAATTGTATTTATAAAACCAGCATATAAGGAATGAAAATTTGGTTCAATTGAAGCACGTTTCATAACTAAATATTGTGCAACCCATTTCCATAATTGATCATCATTACCTAAAACTTCTTTTAATTCTTCTGCCTATTAAAAAAAAACGAAACTCATTATTAAATAAAAACAAAAATTTTTTTTTATTTCTAAAACCTTTTGAGATAAATTAGCAAATGATAAATTATTAAATGTAAATGCAACTTTATCATTTATTTGTTCGGGTGGCGGTTTTACTCGTACAAGAAGATAACTTGGATCACTCATTAATGTTCGTATATTTGCATTTTGTGTTAATGATGGCTAAACAAAAATAAGTCAAAATTTGCTTTTTTTTCTTTTTTCTTGAACAACTTACTCCTTTTTGTGCTGGATTTTCTCTTCCAACACCACCATTTCCAGTAACATATTGTTGTTGATTTGTTATTGGTGGACCACTATTCATACGTGGAAACATATTTGATGTATTCATAGTTGAATGTGATATTTGTGGTTGTGGACTAACTGTTGTTGGTGCTGTTAAATTTGATGTTGGGGTTAATGTACGTAATTGATCAAATTGTTGTTGAATATTTGTTTTAGTACCATATTCAAGATATTCACGAATATTTAATGGAATTTCAGAATAAGTTAATAAACTTCGTAAACCTTGTAGAAATTGTGGTTGTTCACGAATTCTAAATAATATTATTCATATATACAAAATAAATTATTGAATGAGTTTAGAAGTCTAACATATATATTAGTCAGAAATGTACAGGGCTACTCTACCCCATAGAATAAGGTAAGGAATAGAAAATTATTTTATTAAGCATAAAACGTACGAAAAACAAAAAACAAAATTATTTTACCATAAAACCTCAAATGTGATTACTATTTTTCTATTTCTCACCTTTCAAATATTTGTAGCTAGAGTAAATTTGGCAAAGAGCACGGTAAATAAATTCGTAGAGTACAGATTTTTTCCACTAAGATAAGTGGAAGTATTAGAAAAATTTTCTTAATCAAAGTACAAAGTACGAAAAACAAAAAAAAAAACGTGTTATTTTTAGAAATCGATTTCAAAAACTTGTTTGTTTACATTGAAGTATAATTTTCAATGATAGAAAACATGTAAATTTAATTGAAAATTTTACAAACATACACAAAAAATAATTTACATATACAATTATCATTAACTTATATTCTATCCTATCTATAATCATTGTTTTGTGTTTATATATATAAGATTGAAGGGTATCTTAAATATGAGGAGGGTTACTTCCTTTCGTTTTTTTTTTCTTCCTTAATGTATCACAATATCTTCTTCGCTTTTTCTCGATGTTTTTTTTTTATGA